AGTCGCTGTTTATGGCTTTCCTGCATTATAAGGAAATAGTACCCATTTTCTCAAAAACAAATTTATTTATCGAAATAAAATAAACATAAAGGCGTTTTACAATTAACCACCCACTATTTACGGCTTGCCTCCATAAATTATCCACTCCACTATTTTTCATAAGTTAATTTACTAGTTGGATAAAATTGGAATAAAATTAGGTTGAACAGCAAATTACCCTTTAGGATAAAATTGAAATACAGGAAAGTAACCTATAGCAAGTTTTAACTCCATTTCCACTACAAAAAATCTTCTGCAATTGTTTTTGCAAACGCAAGAAGAATAATTCATAAACTCTCAAGAAACCTTTACAACCGTTATGCAAAAGCAACTTATTCATTCTAAAATTTTAGCATCAATTTGATTACCTATTGCACGTATCAACGTCAATAAGATAATATGTATTTTCTGATACACGAGACATAACAAGAATTAAACTTGCATTAATGTAGACCTAACAAAATGAGAAAAGTGGCGTAACAAATAATACAATAATAAGAATAACATATTTGGTATAACAAATTTGGTATAGTCTAAAATTTTATTTTTTTTTTGCAGATAGTTCACGAATATAAGGTGCAACCACTAAAAAGAATGACATGCATATGTAATGTAAAAATGAATATAAAATGAATGTAGTTACATTGTGTCATCCGGTATTCGGGTCCATAGTGGAAGCCGAACTTCAATAATGGAAAGCCAAAGTTGAAGCTTACTTCAGACGCTATGGGGAAGAAGTGGGGTCACCAAATATTTGGTTCAAAGGAAAGACTTGCAATAACATAGTACGGAAGTCAGTCTGCTGTTTGCTTCCATCCGTACACGCTTCTACTTGAATCCCTGTGCACGCGCTCTCCAACAATTTAACGTCTCCGTTTGGACCGTTTTGCCCCCAACACGTGTCGCTCTCTGCCGGCATTCCTACCATAGGCAGGTTCTTACCATAAAGGTATCCATCCTTTGGGTGAAAAATCACTAGGCTATGAGCGTCTACTTAATAGCTCAACAACAGAAGAATCCCTCCAAATAAAATTGACTACAAACCCAAAAGTAACCGTGGCAGCTTCTGGCAGTGGCGCAGAAGAGCCAAATACAAAAGTCCCAGTAATGTTTCCTTCATCTAGTATTATACTTTCTATTTTGATCTGTCTCAAAGTAATTGTCATTTACCTTAAATGGCAAATAACGGTCCTTTGGCATCTGAGTTTTTTGAAAATTTGTTTAAAACTTTTATTGTAGTGTACTCTAGAAGTTTTTGAAAAAATTTTTTATGATGAAAATTTTTTTTTCCTTTTCTTTTTCTTTCTTTCCTTTTTCTTTTCTTTCCTCTCTTCTTCTTCTTCTTCTCCCTTTGCCTCACATTTTGTTACAAAAAAATCCTAAAAATAGCAATCCAAAAATAGGTCTGAACTGAGTGTGGCTTGTCATTTGCGGTACAAATTTAACCCAGTGCGTGCAGACACGAGCTAGCTCTAGGAAACATTACTACTACATGACATGACCCCAGAAGTCCTTTCTTATCTTTCCAATAAAGCTACGGGGATAGAAGAGGAAACTAGACCAAAACAAAGCTTTGTGGGCTACCGATGAAAAAAATGCACAACTCCCTAAATGTGATAAATAATTCGAAGCATCATTCCCTTAGTAACAGCAGCATCATTACTGACAGAAATGGCAACAAGAGTAGAGGGAATTGTGGAGGGAATTAATCGATTCGCAAGTGAATCAGAATTTGAACCCAAAATCCAAAGCCAGATCCACCAATGGAGAGAGTCTAGATAACGTTAAAATGACAAATGTCCTAAAGGTCTGAGACCCACCATGGTGACGTTCTTACATGGGTAAATTCTGTAGTGTATTCATCTAATCCAAAGACAGGTGTGGAAAGGTAAAAAATATGGCAAAGAAGCAGGCACGTGGAAAGGTAAAGAATATGGCACAGAAACTGACATGTACGGATGATGAAAGGAATATGTTTACAAAAGCAAGTGATGACCTATAACAGGCACGGGCCGGTTTGGAAATGTTGCGTATGGCAGAAGCTGAAAATGTATTGGGGTGTCACGGAATTAACATATATATAATGGGTCTAGAAATAAAACACCGAAGAGGAAGCGTAAGCAGTACTAAACACAGCCATGCTTGGTTTTGAAACAACATATGGACATTAGTGAATAACGAGTTGAGAGCCTTTAAAAAGTGAAACTTAAGAAAATAAATGTTTGAAATATTAAGTTTTTTAATTATGTAATCTATTTTGATTATCGCTGTTCTAATATATAGTCATTTGGAGGATTTCTAGAGCTGAAGTACTAAATTCTTTTTGGACTTTTAATAAATTTGAGTTATTTTTCTTTTGGTTTCTCACTTGTCTAACAACTTTTATCTAACCTACTAAATTTGAATTATTGAAATTGATTTTAATTGTTATATTAGTAAAATATTAACATTTGTGGAAATTAGGTTCATGGGAAGACAGATTGTTGCCTGTTTCATATTTAATTGAATACAAATATCTCTACTTTACATAAAGCGTCCAAGACTGAGGAATAGTGGATTCCAATTGATTCTCCCGATTATGGGTATTACATCAACAAAATACTATCTATTTATGGGCATTTTACTCTGAATAATTACAATTATGTAAAATAAATAAATGTTTATAACTAAAATTGAAAAACTGTTACACTAATATTTTTGTGAAAGGTAAACTGATTGTCCTGTATTTAGCATAAACTGATTTTGAAAGTAAAAAACAAATTGCCCATAACATACTTGCTCTTTATAATTTTTTTTGCATTATATCAACAAAATACTAGCTATTTATGGACATTTTACTCTGAATCATTATATTTATGTAAAATACATAAATGTTTGTAACTAAAATTGAAAAAGTGTTACACTAATATTTTTACAAAAAGGAAACTAGTAAATTTTGTATTTAACAATTTTTAAATATGTGAAAGTAAAAACGTTTTTGCCCATAACATACCAGCTCTTTATGAGTTTTTTGCATTACATCAAAAAAATACTAACTATTTATGGATATTTTACTCTGAATCATTATATTTATATAAAATACATAAATGTTTGTAACTAAAATTGAAAAAGTGTTACACTAATATTTTTACAAAAAGGAAACTAGTAAATTTTGTATTTAACAATTTTTAAATATGTTAAAGTAAAAAAGTTTTTGCCCATAACATACCAACTCTTTATGAGTTTTTTGCATTACATCAACAAAATACTAACTATTTATGGGTATTTTACTCTGAATCATTATATTTATATAAAATACATAAAATGTTTGTAACTAAAATTGAAAAAGTATTATACTTATATTTTTACGAAAGGGAAACTGGTAGATTTTGTATTTAACAAAATTTAAATATGTGAAAGTAAAAAAGATTGCGCCCATAACATACCAGCTCTTTATGGATTTTTTGCATTAAATTAACAAAATACTAGCTATTTATGGGCATTTTATTCTGAATCACTACATTTTTGTAAAATAAATAAATGTTTGTAACTAAAATTGAAAAGGTGTTATACTTATATTTTTACGAAAGAGAAACTGGTAAAATTTGTATTTAACATAAATTAAATATGTTAAAACAACATTAAAGGTGATTTTATTAGTTATTTAATTTGTTGGTAAGAAACAAGGTTTTTTTTTTTGCAAAATTTGTTCATTAGATTTTTTCAAATAATTAGGATATAAAGGTAAATTTTCACAATCTTTTATTAGCAATAGACCCCAATTTCTTCCTAAGCAGTGACGAAATCAAGATTTTTTCCTTGGAGGGGGGGCCAAAATGATTGACAAATAAAATTATTTTAATATGTTATATTCAAAATAATTTTCATCTATTTAAATATATGGCATCCTAAAATATCAAATATTAACTTTAATTATAAAGGTATGTCTATTTAATAAATATGTAATATAGTCATAACAAAAATTAAGACAAGAAATAACATTTGATTAAATATTTTATAGGAAAAAATGCACTTTTCATCCTCAAAGTTTCACCCCAAACATATAGCATCCTCAAAGTTTCGTAATTTTGGCCAATTAAGGACAATTGACGGGAAATGAAGAATTGATCGTTAGAACCAACGATTTTACCCAACAAAAAATGGGTAAAATCGAATAGAGCCATTTTTAATGGAACAATTGTAACGGACAAAAAGCTCAATTCTTCTCCTTCTTCGCTCTGCCTTTATGCAGCCCCAAAATTTTTTTGCCAATCTCTGGAGTTTTAACGACCGTTATACAACTTTCAAAACAAATAAATTCATTCTAAATTTTTATTTGGGATTATTTCATAAACCAAATTGCGGTCACTTTGTGTAAAGTATCACTTTCCCATAAAAGACCAGCTCTTTATGATTTTCCTCCATTATTAGAACAGGGTACATATTTTTTTATAACTAAATTTATTTATCAAATAAAATAAAAATAAATTTATTTTCTAATAAAAGACCAACTCTTTATGATTTTCCTCCATTATAAGAACAGAGTACCCATTTTCTCATAAATAAATTTATTTATCAGATAAAATAAAAATAAATCTATTTTTTAATAAAAGACCAGCTCTTTATGACTTTCCTCCATTATAAGAACAGAGTACCCATTTTTCCATAAATAAATTTATTTATCGGATAAAATAAAAATAAACCCGTTTTTCAATAAAAGACTGGCTCTTTATGACTTTCCTCCATTTTAAGAACAGAGCACCCATTTTTCCATAAATAAATTTATTTATCAAATAAAATAAAAATAAACCCATTTTTTCAATAAAACACCAGATCTTTATGACTTTCCTCCATTATAAGAACAGAGTACCCATTTTGAAAGTAAAAAGGAATTTGTTTATCGGATAAAATAAAAATAAACTCATTTTCAATAAAACACCAACTCTTTATGACTTTTTTCCATTATAAGAAAAGAGTGCCCATTTTGTCATAAACAAGTAACTTCTTTAATTAGAAACCATCGACCCCTTACCAAAGACGATCAAATGCAACTAAATGATTTTCTTGCAAGAAAGTTGCCAAAAGCAGCTTTGTGACTGTAGTTGCTACTTTTTTTTTCAACCATTTTTCAACGGTACAAAGCACAAAGATACTCAAAGCCAAAAGCCAAAAGCCAATATCTTTTTTCCCTAAACAGCAATTCTACAGCTAAAAGCCAAAAGAAAAATGAAAAATGTCGAGAGCTCAATTGCCAACAAAGCTCTTCTTCGCAGCAGCATGTTGGGCCAACCACAGCACTCGCACGTATTTTCCTACAGCTCGTCCTGCAAAAGGGTGGAAGTAAGAGAGTTAAAACAATTGAAATTTCTGATAACAAATCATCATGGTTAACTCAGCACTGAAGGATCAGACAAAGCCCTTACTTTAACATTTTCCTCAGCTGCGGCAGTAACATCTTCCTTTGTTTCTGATTTGGCGTCTGCATCATCACTATCTGCTTCATCAGCAGCATCATCATCATCGCCTTCCTCAGCCTAAAAGAACAAGTTTTTCCCATTAAGAAAGTGCACGTAATAAGAACATATCACAGATAAAATCTGGAGCAAAAAGAGTCTCTTTTGAGAACAACATTTTAGTCAGGAACTTACATCAGAATCGACTGGGTCATCCTTTGCTTCCTGAAACAAAATCAGACAGGAGTTTGAGATATAAGTTGTCTCTTCATAATCAAATGATCACTGTTCAAATAATGCAGTATAAAGGAAGTCCAAAGTCCAAACTATACAGAAATGGAATTCAAATGTACTCAAGACATCATGCAACAGAGGAGAATTAATGAAAAGTACCTCCTCCTCTCTCTTCTTTTCTGCCTCATCAAAAGCAACTTTTTCAGCCTACAACATGAACATTTTCATGTGTCAACAAGCAGACGAAAGTAATTTAAACCTTTTTATTTTTTGTGCATCGCTTGGGGAAAAAAAATTCCACATACATCCTTATGCTTGCCCCATGTCTCTTCAGCCAACTTCTTAGCATATTCAAGATCATCAGATACCAATACATTGTCAAATAGAGTTCCAGATTTCACCTGAAGAGATACCAATATATTGTCAAATAGAGTTTTTCTTGCGATTGTTAAATTGACCAAAAATGCAAGAAAAAGGCAATTGACAAAACAGAGATGAAAATAACATATTAAAAAACCTACACCATCGCTTTTCCTTGAAGTCTGCCATTGCATCGGAAGGGTCTTTAAAGTGTGTCCATGATTGTATAAATTCAGATCTGGATGCTAGAGAGGAAGAGGGGAACCATATGTCTATGGGAAACTGAAAATTAATAGAGAGGGAAAGAGAGATAGAAGGAGAAAGGTGCAGGGGAGGTTGCAATTGAACTTTCGAGCGCTCTGATCTGAGAACAATATTTGGGAAAGTAGCCTTGCAAGTGTGGAAGGCTTGGAATTCATGTGGTGCTAGGCTTGACAAGTGCTGTGCCGGGAATGGTTAAAAAATTTTCAATGCGCGGCTCTACCAAAAATTGGAAGGGAGCAAAATTTTGAAATTTTCACAAAAAAGCACCCATGATTTCTCACCAATAACATAGAAACTTTGGCCCTCTAGAATCAGTATTTGGAGGGAAGCTTTCCCGCTCTCCTTTTGGCGAGAATTTTAAGCGAGAAAAGTCCTTACCCTCGCAGAGTATATGATGGCTCCAATTTCTTGTGAGGTATTGTCATTTTCCTTGCTATAAGCCTCTTAAGAGCGTCAAGCTTTCTACTTCTTCATAAAGTTGTTGTCACTAATACCCTTTTTTGTTGTAGTGAAGGGAGGAAAATCATAAAAAACTGGTGTTTTATTGAAAAATATATTTATTTTTTCATCCGATAAATAAATTTATTTATGAAAAATGGGTACTCTGTTCTTATAATAGATGAAAACTATAAAGAGCTTGTGTTTTATTGAAAAACGGGTTCATTTTTATTTTATTCGATAAATAATATTTTTTTTTAGAAAAATGGGTACCATATTTTTATAATGGAGGAAATTCATAAAGAACTGATTTTTTATTTAAAAAAGAGTTTATTTTTATTTTATTCGATAAACAAATTTGTTTATGGCAAAATGGATACTCTTTTCGTATAAGGGAGGGAAGCCATAAAGAGCTGATGTTTTATTGAGAAACGGGTTCATTTTTATTTTTTCGATAAATAAATTTTTTTTATCCGATAAATAAATTTGTTTATGGCAAAATGGGTACACGGTTCTTATAATAGAGGAAAGACATAAAAAATTAGGATTTTATTGAAAAATGGGTTTATTTTTATTTTATCTGATAAATAATTATTTAAAAAAAATAGGTACTCTGTTCTTATAATAGAGAAAAGTCATAAAGAGTTTATTTTTTTATTGAAAAATGGGTTTATTACAATTTTATTCCAGTCAATTGTGACCCATTTTCCCATTAACCTAAGTTAGACGGACTAAATTATTGAGTTTGTTAACCACAGTCAAAATTAACACAGAAGCAACTTACTCAAATTACTCAATCCTTTATGACTTATACCGAATGAATACTAGGAGGCTTATTTGAAATAACAATAAAAATATTCTATAAATGATTTAGTACATTAGTTAGTAAGTACTTGTAACATACTTGTATAATGCATGATTATATGTATAATTTGATATTCTTTTGTACTTATATATTTTAAAATATTTTGTGAAAATATTTTGACCTTTCACATAACCTTAGAAAATAATAAAATTTTATCGTATTATAAAATAATAATTTTATCTTATTATATTCATAGGTTTTAAGTTATAAAAATTGTGATATAGAAACAAGTGATATTCTACATGTAACTAGAAAGATTTGTTGTTATTGTTATCCAAACTTTCAAAATATTCAAAAATTGAAAATGATTACAAACTTACTATTCTACAATTAGTATAATTTGTTAATTAGCCAAAATTCTAGCAAAAGGCAAGCAAATGCAACTTGTAATCAATCCATTCTGATGCATGAAAAAATAAGGTAGCATTCTGCAAATAAATAAAAAAAAATCCACTTTATATGGTTCGTTGTGACAACCAGGCTTATCCCCACTTTTGTTTGAGTTTTGATTACAATGGATATAACCTATTCCCTCCAAACCCCAAATTTTGAATTATAACATTCAACCAAAACATACTCAAACTCTCAGGCTTGATCATACAAGGACAACTAGTGTGAATATCCGTGCTACGCACGGTACTTACATTATTAAAATAAATTAAAAAATTATACCATTTTAATTTGAAAAAAGTTAAAAAAATTATACCAACATAATTCAAATTTAAGATTTGTCTAACAATAGTTCAAAATATCACAAAAACTGTAAATCATTCAAGAATTGTGTTTTTGCAAAAGATGGATCTTAAAATAATAATAATAATTTACATTAGAAAATGAAAGATATATGGATAGAAATAAATGTAATTTCATGTTTTTTTATTTTAAAATGAAATACTTACCAATATTATGCATTCGATTTGATAATCTTATATATATATATATATATGCATTATGAGAATATATATATGTATGTATATATCTGTGTGTGTGTGAATTAACTACCTTTGAATTAATTTTTTTTAAAAAAATTATTTATTTTTAATGCCTTTATAATTTGTGAATGATTGTGAGAGTAAAATATATTATGACAATAAGATACGTTGAATTGTGAAAATTGTAATTTAAACAGGCTCCTAAATTTTGGATATTTGACTTTCGTAGTTGCGAATTTCTTAAATTAACGGTTAGTTATTACTCTAAGTGATATGATAAGTGTCAGTAATCAATGTGAGATGTGAATTTGAATTTGCAGATATCATTTTACAGGGGTGGTTATTATCCGTTAGTTAAAGTTTAGGAGTTTGAATTTTATGGGGTAGTGGAAAAAACATGAGGGAAATGTGGAAAAAATATAAGCATGATTATAGGATTTGTAGGGCCGGTTACATGATTAGTTAAGAGATAAATATTTTTTAATTATAAAAATGTAAAATTCTATTAAAATAGCATTCAGACTTTTGATAATTTTGGAAGCTCCTTATCCAAAACCCCCTCAGCAATACATATAGATATAGATACTAAACGATAGTTATGATAGCGAAATAGTTTTTACCTGATATAACATATTGTTACACTTTTAGCGATCATTTGATTTATTGTTGGACCTGTTCACCTAAATAAAATAACACCTAAAATTATGGAAGCAAGTTTCCTATCTAAAATAGTAAGTTAAGTGTAATAGATTAGTAACTTTTATACCTCAAAGGTAAATTGGAATAAATATTAAACTTAATTTTTAAATAAATAGATTACTACTTGATATCCCAAACTTACTTTTAAAAGAGTAAGTTTAGTTCAAATAACAGTAAGTTTTTATACATAAATAGTAATTCTTACTAATAACATGGCAATAAAAATGATTAAGGATCAAAATTTACCATTTTTTGGAATGCATGTACAATTTTTACATTAAAACCTTATCTCAAAGTAGTATTAGGAAGTTTATTTGAAATAATGATAAGATGTTTTTATTAATGATTAAAACTCAGTACCTTAGTTAGTAAGCACTCATAATATACCTTAGTAAGTTTAATTCAAGTAATAGTAAGTTTTTATACATAAATAGTAATTATTACTGATAACATGGCAAATTTGATTAATAATCAAGATTTATTGATTTATGGGACGTATGTACTATTTTACTTTAAAACTTATCTCAAACTAGTATTAGGAAGTTTATTTGAAATAACGATAAGATGTTTTATGAATGATTAAAACTTAGTACCTTAGTTAGTAAGTACTCATAATATACTCGTATAATACATGATTATAGGTATAATTTAAAATTTGTTGTACTTATATATTTTAAAATACTATGAAAAATAGTATGAACTAAACCTACTCTCCAAAAAGTAAATTTCAGATATGCAGTAGTAATTTATTTTTAAAAAATTTAAGTTGCATATTTATTTCAATTTACGCTTGAACATACATCGATCGGTGCTCTCTGGATGCGTCCAAGCTCCAGTGAATGTCTTTAAACTAAATTCTAATCAAAGTAGTATCCAAAATGTAATGATTCAGAGTAAAATGCCCATAAAACTTAGTACAAGGACAGCTAGTGTGAATATCCGTGCTATCCAAAATATTTATGTATTTTACATAAATATAATGATTCAGAGTAAAATGCCCATAAATAGATAGTATTTTGTTGATGTAATGCCCATAATCCGTGGCCCCAGGATGGCTTTGTTTAGTAATTAGTACTGCTTACGCTTCTTCACAAATGTTTTATTCTTAGGCCCTTTATATTTATGTTAATTTCGTGACATCCCAACACATTTTTAACTTCTGCAGTACACAACATTTCCAAATCCCGGTTATAGGTCACCACGTACTTTTGTAAAAATAATCCTTCTTGATCCGTACATGTCAGGTTGCAACGTGCCGCTTTCTTTGCCATATGCTTTACTTTCCACACCTCTTCTTTGATTACTAAACATACTGCAGCAACATCCTTTAAAAATCAAGTCTACTTGAGTACGAGGCTTCTTATATAGTTGTGGACCATTGATGTTGTGTAGTCTAGTGAAAATTTGAGTTGTAATTTTGCACAATGGACAGAATAAATTACTCTATATTTTTAATTTTTTTTCTTTTTCTTTTTGGGAAACAAGAAGCATACCATAGTAAACTAGACAGCTTACTAGTACAGGCATGTTTTGGAGGTAAACTAGTAGGAATCCAGGGGTAGACAGTATGAAATCAGGCATGAACTCGTCTAATCAGAAAGCATGATATACGTGAATTTCAGAAATGAATACCCCATTTTAGCTTACTTCTTGTATAGTATGTGATTGACTTCAGCTTAAGTAGGGCTTTAGGTTTAGACTTGGCTAACGAGCATAACTCTGCTGCCTTTATCTTTAAGTTCCTCCAAACAGAAAATCCTCCAGTATTAAGTACTTCTCTCTCAAATTATGACCTTTTAACCATATAACTTCCACCTGAATGAATGAACTCGATTTTATATAC